GGTTATTAAGTAGTTAATATTGAACATTTTTATGCGTCCTGCGTATCGTGACTTTCGCCGGGCGAAAAACGATACGCGTGACTACTCGTGTATATCTGTTTTGCTACCCTTTGGAAGCTCTTTGTTTTAGAAATATGTTGACCTATGTTAGCGGCATTGATCTAAGAAAAATCAATATAACAGTGAATATAACAGTGAATTCGGTCTTTTTTTAATGATCTTTGATGGGTTAACAAAAGCAATTCAAGAAGCCACGTCACTTTCTAATTTTAAGAACCCTTATAAGAAGCATTTTGTAAGATAAGACTAATTATTCTGTAGTCAGTTTCAACTGATAATCACCAAATTAATTTTTTAAAGCTTATTTTACATATTTATTAGACTTTATCGGGAGCCATAATCGGGGACGGATATGGCTCCTGACTTTATTAGACTTCAGCAAAATAAAAAAAAGAGAGAAAGAGAAGAAAAAAAACACTTTGTACCGGACTAGAACCAGTGAGGACAAGACGATATACAGATACTGCACTCCTGTTGTCTACCAAATGAGCTATCACAGTATCCATGAATTTGTTGATGCATAAAGACGCTTTACAAAATTGTTCATTACTCAGCTATAAATATTTCAATCCAAATACCAAAATAAACGTTGTAAAGTCAATGATATACAGATAATCTCTGCAAAGTTTCATATCCAAAGCTGTAATGTTCAAGGTACACGAGTGATGTGTTTAATTACAGAGCATGTATATGGGAACGCTATTGCAGTCGACGTATGGACACGTTACACATAATTGCTAATTTTTCGGCTAATATTAAACCAAACCTAACAAATATTTATCATGTTAATAACAGTCTTACAGGAAGACCTTGCACTAAATATCAAAAGAAATATCGCTATATTCGAGTTGTGCGAATTATTTAATTATCTAATTTTATATGTTTTATATATTGTTTATGTAATGAGTTATTTGTCTGTTTATTCATACTCTTCCTTATTTGTTTTCTTCAGTTTGAAGGTGACATCAATGACCATGAGCCCAACTTGGATGGTGTTCGTCTTTTCTCTTGTTACGAGTGGAGTTCACTGCGGAAGTAAGATTGATTTAGTGAAGGCTGAAACGTTTAAGCCTTTGCGGCTTAGTAGTTGAAGTATCATTTGAGATGAGTTATAACTCTTAATAGTCCTTTATAACGAGTGATCTATTCACTTCTGTAATATAGAGAGGGGGACGCAGCCTAACTATGAAGCGGTAGTTTGTGAGGGCAAGTCACTCGAAATCAAATGTAAGGGACAGCAGATTGAAATTGTTGGGGCGGAATATGGGAGGACAGAGCCAGGAAGCAAGTATTGCCCGTTGGCTTTGTTTGACTGGAATACGAAGTGCTATTCTACAGAGAGTACCTTGGAAATCACCAAAAAGGAATGCGATGGCTTCAGGTCTTGCACTCTCTATGCCAATAACGTGGACTACGGTAACCCGTGTTTTGGTACCCATAAGTATTTGAAGGTATGTTTTACATGCAACACATAGTTTAATCTTCAAATCTAACAGAGAAATTATTTGAAGAAGAGTAATATCCTACATGTAAAAAAATCGCCAGCAGAAATCCTGTAACATTTTACCTTCAGTGTATTGAATACGCTTTTCAAAAAGTGTTGATTACTGGATAGGTTGTGCAAAACAAAATTATTCTGCATTGCAAATCGCTCGAGATAAATAGTTTTTTGCACACTAACATAATTTTGTGTCACATAGTCACGAATAAAGGAAGAAGCGTTTCAAGTATTCATGATATTCACCTCACAGCCGGTGATTTTCTGATCCGACAGGTCAATTACAGGTGCATACCAGCAACACCAGAAGCCTTGCAGAAGATTCGCGTCTGCGAAGGTCATCAAGCCTATATAGACTGCCCCAATGAACGCAAGATTGAAATCGATTATGCAAATTATGGCCGTTTGAAGGGAGCACATGTCTGTGGTTTCTTGATCGCCTTTAACACAAACTGCGGGGCGGAGAGCTCCATGGCCACCGTGGAGAGAGACTGCACTGACCAGAATAGTTGTTTGCTGGAAGCAAACAACGCCAAGTTTGGCAAGGATCCTTGCCCCCTCACCCTGAAATATCTGGAGGTTAGTGATGTTGAGCTTATATACTTTGTTTTAAAAAACACGCCGCGATGAATGAAAAAACAAGTGAGCATCAATGCTGAGTTAAAACAATACTTTTGTGTGACAGGTGAGGAAGAGGGGGGGCGGGGGTGGGATTGCGGCCTGAAACACGCGAACCCCTACCGTTGTGCAATGTTGTTTAGCCCAATAAAATTCCGAAAATTTACGGTGGCTTTGAATTCCCTCGACGGAATCTTTTTTAAAACTTCGCCAAAATTGAATCTTATCAAGCTTATCACATTTGATAATACAAAATGGGGGGTCACCTAGCTCGTTTTGAGTTATAAACACTTGAAGCTAACATTAAGGGTGTTTGTAACAGATTGAACTGTTGCTATGGCAGACAAGTATGCCACAGAGATTACCATTAGTGGTAGTATTGATCTGTCAATGTAGCTTTTGGGAAAGTGCTGGAAACTGTCGCTAGACACCTTTAAGCGCCAAAGGCAAATTATTTATCAATCGAGAATGGAGAAAGCACACTCGTTTTACTTTGTTTGGTAAATTAACTCAGTGTATTTTGTTTTCTGTCTGCTCGTACAGGTCCATTACCGTTGCCGAAACTTTTAGCCGAGTTGGCATCATTATTAGCTGGTGCTGTCCTAAAACATGAGTGCAACAAAGGACAAAGAAACGCATCTGGAAAACTGCGATGTAGAAATAGAAAAGGGAAATAAAAATGGGAAATAAAAATGGAAGGTCATTGTCAAGATGTGGTGTTCAATTATTCCATAAGGTGGCTTACTAGGCGGATTTTGAGAGAGTGATACGACCCTACAGCTACACTTCAGGAATTAGAAGTGAAATAGAAATCTATAAGACTGGTTTTGAGATATTTTTTAAATAGGCAAATTCACATTTTCCTGGCGGCGAAAAATCTGCGGCAGATTTCTGTTTCACTTTACATGAATGTTTAATCAGAGCTAGTTTCTAATCCCTGAAATTATGAGGTGGTGTTGTAAGGTAGACTTGAGAAAAAAATGTCACCGAAATTAGTTACGTCCATTTTTACATATTTTACATGGCTAGCTCCGTGAGCGGGCAAGATGAACCAAATCCCGCGCTGTGATTGGCTACCCGAGCGGGCAGGATGACCGTATCTTACCTGCACGGTTTTTCGCGCTGTGCCCCGCAAGAAAAATCTGTCCCGAAGCCAAGGCAGGTTCATCAAAGTCCATATAATAAATTCTTTATTCTCTAAGCTTGTTTGGTCAAGATGGTTGGTGAACTGAGACAAGTACGAACGTTTCATTAGTGAGATCTGTTAACGTCTAGGTTCAACGCAGCACATTAAGGAAGTAATATGTCATACACAACTTAAAACACAGCGCACAGAGAATTGAAAACATAGCGCGCAAAGAAGTATTTTTGGCGAACTTCGAGGTGTTTGGAAATGTTTGATATGACTTCTCAATCGAAACTAAAATTAAGGGGAAAACGAAGAAGCAAAATCGCAAATTATTAGAGCATTTGAGAAATACGTTAACTGACACACGATTCACCTGAAAAAATCTAAGACATTTTGCCTATATATCTGCTGGGCGTCCTCTCACCAGCTTCGCGCTGATAGCAAGGTTGTGTTATAGAATCAAGTGATACTAGTGATATTAGCGACCCCGATGCAGCGCTTAACTGTAGTGAGAGTAACAGAGGGAATGTGGCATCATTTATGTAGCTTTTAAAAGGAATAAACTAACTGCAAAAAAAAAAAAACGCTTCAAATTAACGCTAACCTAACTTCCATTTTCTCTAATTGGAAAAAATTAATATTTCAATAAATACACGTTCCACATTATTACGCCATTCCGCAACACATGCTACATGCCACAGTGCAAACTTCTCCGTGCTTCTACAGGTGCACCATCAAACGCAGAGAGCGCTGCAATGCCGCACTCAGTAGATTCTCTAACTTGAGTATTGGCGAATCTTTTGCCGACGTCATTGTTTACATTTTTCCCCGTTAACATACGACTTTGCGCAGGGAAGGCATCGTCCTTGACACGAACTTATACAAACATAAAAGAGCTTGTGAAATTTACTAGCTGTGTTATCGAGAGCCTTGTAAATACGAAGTTTCTTGTAATTTCTAGAATGTGTAGTCACGACAATGTTCGTACCAGAACATTCTACTGTCATGCTATGGAACAGTTTAGAACATTCCCCTAAATGATGTAATTAAGATGCAGTGCTACATAAATAGTTGTGTTAGAAGCTCCAAGAACGTTCTAGAATATTAAATAATTGTATAGCAGGACTCTCACTCAGTTAGCGAGCGTGGGTTGTTATTGTTGTCGGCAGAGACCGACTGGAGAAGCTATACCAAGAGGATCGTAGAGAACTATCGAGCATAATTGAGGAACTTCATTTAAAGTCAAGTGGATCGAGAGGAGATTTCTTCGAAGACCACGACATTTACTGTTGGTTTGTGGCAGTGATGACTGAGGATTTAGTAGGAGCCTTAAGTTGCTTAGAAGTCGCTCCTTGTAACTAGGGGATTTCACTACTTACAGTGTATCACTAAATAAATAAGTTGGGTTTGTTGTGTATCTTCTCTGTCGGTTTTGTGATACCGTAGCAGTTGGTGAGAGTTTTGGCACTTTGGGTGCAATATTCAAGGAAAATTAGCTTTCAAAAACTGCGAAATGTCTGGGTGGCAAAAGCATTCATGAGTTCATACTATCTTTCATTTCGAGTTTTTAAACCCGCGTTGCACAAAATGGATTCAATACATCGGACTCAAATTCCCTGGAACAGTTAATTTAACCATGCCATTTCAATATACAGAACTGATATTTTTGTATCTTGCTCAGAAACTGAGACGCGCAAGCTAAGGAGACAATTACTGTAAACAAAGATTCCCCTAAGTGAATAGAGATGGTGAATTTTTTCACAAAGATTCGCCTATACGCAGCGCTGTTGCAAAGTTTCGCTTACAGTCTCGAAACAAAAACGCAATCAACTCCAATTTCAAAGGGTTTTTTTTTTTTTCTTGGTCAAGTCCCAACCCTTCAGTGCGTGCTTTTGAGAGGCGACTAATCCGTTTTGAATGTTTTCTTTTCGTTCGCAGATGCCTCATAGTTGTGTTTGCTTCATGTCTAAGCTCCAGTGGTCGCACGGACAATAAATAAGGCGTACATCTTCAGATATCTGATCACTCGTCTGTATAGTGCTTTAGTGACAGCCGTGGTACAATGTTCATGGACAAGAGTTCTTGGAACAGAAGTTTACAAGCGTAAGGAATCTTTAACGTCGAGATGTTGTGAGACGACGAACAATAATGACACCTGCAAGCCAACAAAACAGCGGCATCAGCTCTTAGCAACTAAAAACTATTAAATTTGGGGAAAAAGAATCATCTACGTGAAGGTAACTTATTATTGTTAATATCACACACGTGCCCTAGAACAATATACTCACCCTCTAACACAACTTTTAGACCAATGCTGTCAACAAGTAGTTTTCGAAAGCAATCACAAAAGTAATCTAAAAATCCGGTCCTTGCTTTGAGTAACTTGGTTTCACCTTTTTTGGGCGGATTTGAATGTCGAAATTAATCCGGACCTCTATGACACGCGCCTGCAAAGAATCGTGGTAGCTATATTCATCATCTTGGACTGGATATTGTTTCGATGAGTACAACTACCATGATTCCATGCGGGCACGTCTAATACAGGGAATTGGCCACTGCTTTGGCTTGCTTTACTGTGCCCTAACACAAAACCACTTACGGCTTCATCTCGCACTTTGTCCTGCACTTGACACTAGTTACGTGTACTTGCCACAAGTTCACATTGGCCTGTGATGTTGGTCAATAGGATTATTTTATTTTTAATTTTACGACAACGGACTAAAAACCCCTCTTATTCCCAACAATGATCAGCTTCTATCATCCCCTTACATTTTCACAACAAATTCAATCAGGCAGGGTTATAAGAATGAACAATTTGATCTTCTCAAGGAAAACGAAATGTCCAAAAACCAAATATTCCCAAGAAGAATTACAGAAAATGTAACAAAACAGTAAGGAGAATTCCTAGGTTGATAGAAACTAATATCATTACCATCCTGAGTATCCCATCAAGCCACACTCGCTGCACACGTCAACTTCAAAGGCATCACTAGAAATCATCAGTCTTTCAAGAAGCAGCATGCTACAAAAAAATATTTGGTTAACATAAGCAACAATCGTCTTGCCATTTGCTCTGATATTTTTGGCAGACTCGCCTGGTCCCAGAGGTTTCTATCTTCGTCATAAATAAATTCAAAAGCCGTCAAGACCCATTCCAACATTCTTTCTCTAGAGTTTGAAAGAAGAACCTCGTGGAGCAAGATATCTGTTTCAAGACCTGCAGTATTACAAGCGTAACGCTGCTCGAACACTGTTCACTTCTTGTAGCAGCTAGTCTCCGTGAACAAAATTTAAATTGAATAATTGACCTCTTTAAACTATCATGTTGACACGTTGATAAATTTGTACAGATTACGCCATCTTTATGACTTCAAAATCAGTTGCCATGACAACATATAGAAAGTCAAACGTACCCCGTTCTTATGCTTTGGCTGATTACTTTAAAACTTACCCGCAAAAAAGTTCTTTTGAAACAATCATTGAAGATTCTCCTCAATGACTTTTACTCACCTTGCACCGTATGCAATCAAGCAATCTCTCTCCATCTCACCCAACCGCAAGCCGCCGTCTCTGCTCATAACAAACACAAAACCATGTTATCCTGGGAACAGTCACGACTAGTTTTTGAAAGTCACGTAACCATAATCAAAACTACCTGCCTACGCGAGTAAGTAATCTATAGTTTAAGTTTTCAAGCTTTGCGCTTTGCTTAATCCTCAATCTCTATTAAGCCTCCAACTTTGTTTACAGAAGCACCGTTTACGCGTAGACGTAACATAATTTGGAGGATTGGACGTGAATATACTTGGTATTTTGCTCGCTGCACGCGCTCCATCTGCCAAATATTTTCCCGTCTGGTCCTCCCACTTAATAAAAAAGCTCAAAGTCACCTTGAACGTCCTTCCGTTGGTTGTCTTGTCAAAACAGCTCGGGGCCCCTAGAAAATGCAAGAAAAAATTTCAATATCAACAGCACACTGATAAGAACTACATCACATAAACGTGTTTGACATGCAACACACTAGAAATAATATCAGTTGCTCGACAAATGGCTCTTAAAAGTATTAACTAAAATAAACTGACAACATTTAACAATTAAATTAAGAGCTCACGCGTAGAAATGGAGAGCGAACAATCTAATTGATGTAGTAAAAATCTCAAGTCGTTAAAAACCTTATCTAAGTACTCTTCACAGACACTTAAAAAACGCAATAGTGAGTAGCTGAACCAATAAGAGAACGGCATTCGTAATAACGCTAGTAGGGGGAGGCGCGGTGGCCTCATGGTTAGTGCGTTCGTCTCCGGATCGAGTGGTCCGGGTTCGAGCCCTGGCCGGGGACATTGTGTTGTGTTCTTGGGCAAGACACTTTACTCTCACAGTGCCTCTCTCCACC